ACAGTTAATCCGTATAACATTTAGTAATCCCGACCAATCGGATCAATAGTCTATTGAATGTGTTTGTGATTAGTAACTCCATTGATTGCAGTGCCATCATTTCAACACACCTGACTGATGGTTACTTCTCCAACAGGTTGTCAGAATCTAAATAAATCTGCGTGACCTTCATGACAAAAATATATTTCTCGAACTGTCATTCTCTCAAATGGCGTTTCTCCTGGATAAATGACAGGGAGACGAGAGCTGTGTGTGATCTGAACACAGCTTTAGTAACGAGGCAGAGTCACAGAATAAAACTAAACAATAATCTCCATTTTTACTTTATCCCTCATGTTTTTTCTTAAACAAACTAACGTTTTTAGACATTTTTCCTCACAGTGTGACTTATACACTGTGAGGATGTTAAGGAGGAATGTGCATATATAATATAGCCGAGGCTCAGTTTAATGTATGATCAAATCTGATCGTATTGATTACTGATTAGTCTTCCATAAGGCATGTTAGGCCTGCTTTGGCACCTGTTGTGCTAAATATTTTTAGATCATACAAGCCGGCTGTCCTTCCTCTATTTTTAAATAAGCCGACTTTTATTTTGAATAAAATCAGGAGCAGAGAAAAGATGTGCACCCAATCCTTTCTGTCAATCGATCAGACTGCGGATAGATCGATATGGCACCAGGGCTATTGATCACTACGGTCCTCTATTGCTGCGTTCTTTCAAATGCAAATGTACCTAAATAATAATCTATGGCAACACACTAATTCCTTAACAAACTGTAGGCAAACACTTTACAAACGCGGCGATTGTGGGAGCTTTTTTCAGCATTTATGTCTTTTAAATGTGGCTTCAGAGCTCTGACTGTGAAACTAACTCTTTTAACAGTAGGCTGCCTTGTAAAGATTTAACAGGACAAACACGTAGCATTCAAAATGCAGGGTGACATTGATTTGGCCTGTAGCCTATTGAAAGTTCGTACAACATGTGTGAAGGCAAATGAGTTAGTGTCTAGTGAAAAAAAGGGATTAACTAGAAAAGATTTAGCTGAAAAAAAAAACTGGGACCATATTAGAAAAAAAAAAGTCTAATAAATAATAAACAAGAAATGTCTCATTTCTTGTCGTTCAGTTCATTGTTTTTCGGGGGGTTAGTCTAGTCAACTATAGCTGCAATTAATGTGTGGATTATTATAGGTATTTTCAAATTTTATTGGACATCGCCTATATTTCTCTCACCCTCACACACGCAGACAGTTATTTAAATCAGAGCCATAGGCAAAGAGGGCAGATGTTGTGGAGCTCCATCTCCCAACAAGGCCACATCAGTGTGTGTGTGTGTGTGTGTGTGTGTGTGGACTGATGAGAGCTGCAGCAGCCCGTCCCGCTGACTTGCTCAGAGGCCTGATCAATGCGACATTACTAAACACTGCTACTTAACTTTTGCCAATAGCCAGATTCAAGTAAATATACTTTAGAATACATTAAGTGTGATGCATCAGCTACGGAGTCATTCAAGAAGTCATGAAAAGATTAGTCTGTCTCTGTCGAGTGATTGCTGGGAAAACAGACAAGCCTGCGGGAGAGTTGGCCCAACAGGAGTTCCTCTCACTATCACACGATGTTTAATTAAAAAATATAGAAAATTAAAAAAAAAAGAATTTGGGGGGAGCTAAAACTTTCTTTTGGCCGCCTGCTGCGTGAAAATGGAGACGAGTGAGAAAGTGAAGGAAACCCCAGCATACAGTATCTCGGTAAGGTGTTGGGAACAGCTTCAGTGCGTCTTGGCATTGATTCTACAAGTCTGAACTCTGTGGAGGTTTAGATGATGATAGTAGAGACACTGTCTGACACGTGGCTCCAAAGTCTCCCATAAGCGTTCAACTGGGCTGAGATGTGGAGCCTGTGAAGGCCATACGATTCACACCATGTTCATAAACATCAAACCATTCACTGACCACTGAATGGGCACTGTCGTCCTGGAGGAAAGCAGTTTCCTTTAATTTGTCATTTTTATGCAGGGTCTGCAGTCAACAGCACTCAGCCAAATGAAAAGCTCAGCTTAAAGTTTTCAGCTGAGTGCTATGTGCACATTTCCTGTAATGAACTGCGTGTTGAGACAGGTCAAACACATAACAGGAGACCTAACCTAACCTGTTTTAGCACATTGCATTTTTGGCACCATCGATTCTTCAGAAATGCATTGAGTGAAGCTCCAGGTTCAGCATTGATTAATTGATCATGAAATGACGGCAGTGCTTAAAAATAAAAAAAACCTAAATGCTTTGGGCCTCATAAAACACTTTAACGTTGATCTGTAGTGACTTTAAAACAAAGCATACCACCAGAGTCCAATTTAAAGAACAGAATTTATAACTTTTAGCAAATAAATGTGCATTAATAAGAGATAAATTAAAGCACACACACCAACTGCTGCTGCACAATCACCGCAGTGTGTGTGTGTGTGTGTGTGTGTGTGTGTGTGTGTGCAGTCGATGCCAGCGTCGTGCTGAGGCCACCGCCTAGCCCGCTGTTATTAATATGAAATAAATCACTGGGTCTCTGCGGCATCGCCCCAGTCACACCTCAGATATCGACACAGTTAATATTTCATATTGTATTTACCGTAGGATGTGCTTATTTAACTATTTGAGTACATTAAAATACAAATTAAAACTTAGCTCTAGGCTGATAAATAGATTTTTCGGAGGAGAAAATTGCTGGGTTTATTTTGCATCCAAATTTTATTTTGGCTCGCTATATGAACAACTTGACCAAGCTACATAAAGTAGAAAAAAGCTTTTGTTGTTTTTAGGTAACATGACCTGGCATAGTGTAGTGGAGCACAAAACAACACAGAAAGACAAAGAGGAGTTCTCGTGTGAAGTTTACAAGTTCTTACTCAAAGTATAGGCTAAAACTTTTCAGCGCGTTGTTTTGGGTTGTAAACCCTGGTGAATTAGGAGCAAGGAGCCAGCAATGAAAGTTAACATCCATCACCACCGCGACCAATAAGCTGCTCTGGCCGGCTGGCTGAGCACAGATGACGGATTCGCTGCTGTGCGGGCTTCGGTAATTCATTTTCGATAGCAGCGGTTGCTGGGATCAATACAGGGACATTAACCCAAGCGGACACTGCTGTTCTCCTGATGGCACAAGCCAAAAGCCACCATCCCCCTTTGGCAATCCGCAAAGACACAGTTTTAGCGTCATTATTTGGGGGGGAAAGAGCTGATGTGCCAAGGCCACTGATATCACAATTCATCAGTAAAGTAATGGATGACCATGACCTAACTGTTGGTAAACACTAGTCAGGGAAATTATTTTACGCAATTTGCAAATGATTAGTGATGCCACTTCCTAGATTGTTAGACTATTTTTTCAGCTCTGGGTCGAAATTCTAATGGCCTCATTTTATGTAACATCGGTGTAAATGCCAAGGCTTCTCGCTTGGCAACAGTGTTCACAGAGCAATAGAGGCCCAGGGAGGGAGGACTGCAGCGGGGCTATGCTTGGCACATACACACGTCACACCGAGACCTACTTTCCACGGTGCGTTCAGACATGCCACCGATGTCTTAAAGTCGTGTGCCACTTGTTTCACACATGTGACCATATTGGAGACAGCTTCACACACTCGGACTGGACAAAACAGTTACATGCAATAATACAAGATAACAAAACGTATAATGCGAAACAGATGTTGAATAAAATTGGTGGTGATTTAGGAGATCATTTAGGGATACAATAACAAGTCCTTACAATAAAATGCAGGCTAAATACAACGCTATAACAAAGTACCAATCCACTAACTGAACCACAGACTGGATATTGCAGCCCTATTCCACACCGTACATGTGTTCATGATATTATGAAGCAATATCTGAAATTAAGCAATTAAAATTTACGCCATATTTGGTGCAGATGGAAAACTGTTCTGACAACTTCAGTGAAGCTTTGTATACTCCTCACTTTGTGACTTATTCGTTAACCCTTATACAAAATCCAATCACTCGATCGCTGCCATAGTTGCGAGCTCCTGCAGTAGGTTATACGCTAAAATATCAATGTATCTCCTGATCCATACATGCTTTGACACTGATAGATTGCTGACCTGGATTGACGTCAACAGGCAGCATGCAGAAGTTTTTAAGGCAACATTATATGAGAGTTGATGTGTCTGAGAGTTTGGTTCTCGTGGCCTGAATCCGAGGAGCAAAGATGTGAAAGAGGTCAAAGCCTAGAGGCTGATGAAATGAAACTAGGTACGTTTATTCAGTAACATTTGCTCATGGAGAGGGAAAATCGCGTGTAAGAAAAAGTTATGAGAGAAGTTTAACGGTTAAACACTGGGGAAACATTTGACTGTTTGATTTTCAAATTTCAGAAATATGCAAATGTAATTTCACTGGGAAGGTGGTTAAAATTCAAATGTGTCAAAGGTCACCCATGCAATCTGGAGTTATGATTATCATGTTTGAAAGTCAAAGAATTTGCTTCTTTATTCAAGCACACTTGTTCTTTCAGCGAGCGAGCATCCAAAATACACATCTTTAATTTATGAAAGTAAGCTCTTCAAGATTAGGTTGTGGGTTTCTCATTATACTCGTGCCCTCATACCAATTAATATTTAACCTTCAAGAGAGGCATCACATGTGTTGCTGGCGCCTTGCTAAGCGGCGTTATCAGAAAAAACAAGGAGCCAGTCCTTATTATCCGCCGGAGAGTAAATGTTGCACACGCTGCAGTGGATTGCACTTCTGTGTTTTATCTTAACAAGTGTCTAATGCAATCTTTTTCAGGAATTTGCAACATGAACAACCCATGACATAGGGGCCAGTGACGTCAGATTGGCCCCAGACAGAGTGCGCGAGTGCGAGGATAGACCACGGGGGCGCGCGCTTGCAGGCTCGGACTCATCTTAACATGAGCGCGGGCGCGTCAATATACACACAGAGAGCGGAGCAGCGCTTTGGATATAGTGGAAGGTACAGCGAAAGAAATCCAGGCAGGCGCAGACACCTCCACACACTGAGCAGAGGCTTGCGGTGCAGTTTATGTGGCGGCCGGGACCAGATCTTTTAAAATCATGCTGGATTGACTGCAAATAGGCAACTACAATCAATGGCTTGGCTTTGAAATCGTTCAAAATTTATTGGAAAGGACTGTGAGATAGAGCGACAGTGAGAGAGTGGGAGAGATAGGGTGAGAAGCGAGGGAGAGAGCGAGAGAGTGGCGAGAGGGGTGGAAATAAAGATCCTTTTAATGATGGAGCTTACAATGGAAAACATTGGAAATCTGCACGGTGTATCTCATTCCCATCAAACAAGCGACTTAATGAACTCCCCACACGCGCGCCAGTCGACGGCGTCGCATCGGAACTTGGTGTCGCACGGACGATCAGCCATGGTGTCCAGCATGGCCTCGATACTGGAGGGAGCAGGGGACTACCGCACGGACCACGCTTTGTCTGGACCCCTGCATCCGGCAATGACCATGTCGTGCGACTCCGGAATGAGCCTGAGCAGCACCTACACCACTTTGACGCCGCTGCAGCACCTGCCCCCCATATCCACCGTTTCGGAGAAATTTCACCATCCACACCCACATGCTCACCATCATCCGGCGCACCAGCGACTCGCAGCCGGGAACGTTAGCGGCAGGCTGGGACGACCGAAGCCTCGCCTCCATGAGTAACCTCTACGGCCACTATCCCAAAGATATGTCCGGCATGGGGCAGCCTCTCTCCCCTCTGTCCAACGGTCTCGGGTCTTTGCACAGCTCCCAGCAGACTCTCGGCGCCTACGGTCCAGGAGCTCACCTCTCCAACGACAAGATGCTGTCCTCGGGGGGCTTCGAGTCCCACGCAGCCATGTTGTCCCGGGGGGAGGAGCACCTGGCCCGGGGTCTCGGGGGCCACGGGGCCGGGCTCATGACATCCTTGAACGGCATACACCATCACAGCCATCCGCACTCTCAGGCAAACGGGTCCATGCTGTCAGACCGGGACAGGCAGACAATAGTGGGAGGCGGGCAGGGAGCAGGGTCAGGGCAGGTAGAGGAGATAAACACCAAGGAGGTGGCACAGCGAATAACAGCAGAGCTCAAGCGCTACAGCATCCCCCAGGCCATTTTTGCTCAGAGGATCTTGTGCCGGTCCCAGGGAACTCTCTCTGACCTGCTGAGGAATCCTAAACCGTGGAGTAAACTCAAGTCTGGCCGGGAGACGTTCAGAAGGATGTGGAAGTGGCTCCAGGAGCCCGAGTTCCAGCGGATGTCAGCGCTCAGGCTTGCAGGTGAGTGAGGAGACAGCTCCCAACCTGAGTGATGTGGAGGGATCAATTAGGAGTCAATGTGGCGAGACTGTCAATAGCTGCTCAAACAGACATTACTAGAAGTTATTAGTCGATTCTATCGAGTCAAACTTCATCATGACAGTTGGGGTGTTAAATGTTGGGGGAAATCTATATTTTGATTGATGCTACAATCCATGATAGTATAAACAGACACTGTGTAACAATGGAGATGTTACAAACAAAAGCGAGGAGGCATCTCTCAAAAGCCGAACTGGTGCAAATGCAGTCACATACTGTAGGTTTGCTTTTACGCACGGATACAGCATGGATACACAAATCCCTCTCACTCTCTTTCTCTCTCACATACAAACAAAACCCACAGAGAATGGGGCAATCAAAGCAGGATGTGGCCAATATTAATTACAGCTCTAAATGTAAAGCAAATCTAGACCTTCAGATCCCTGCGAGCCAGTTTTACTTTGCATCCCCCTGTCAAACAGGCGTGTCGTAGCAAACAACGATTGGCCAACGAGTCTGGGGAGCATGACCTCTTATGGATCAACATTTCAGATCCAGGTGTCCCCTTTCAGAGTAGTGCACTGATAAATGATCGATTTAGACCTGATAAACAGACACAAACAGATGGTGAAGGGTCTTATACTTGATTAGCGCTTTTCTAGCACACTCAAAGCGCTTTCACACTATTCACACCGGAAGCAACTCGGGGTTCAGTGCCTTGCTCAAGGACACTTCGACATGTTGACTGGACAAGCCGGAAATCGAACCGATAATCCTCCTGTTAGGAAACGAGCCACTCTACCTCCTGAGCCACAGCCGCCCTGCGCCTTTTTCTACCTTCTGCTGTCTCCTCTGCACTCTGGGATATCTGGTCCACAAAGTTGGATCGGGGCCTGTTCAGACATTCTGTAACTGAGAACTGCGAGATTCTACTGTATGTGTAGGATTAAAGGGACATGATAACAGGAAGGGACACGCTGTGTCAGTGAGGCTGACACAAACCTCATCACTCCATTTTGAATGGTTCATCTTTGAGCCATCGTTTTGATTTTTACTGCGCAAAGATTGTGAATCATGAACGCTGTGATTTGAACCCACATCCCCACCCCCTTTAAACTATTAACACTTACAACCAAATTAACAGGACGTAAATGAAAAGCAGAGCGTCGCAGTGGGCTTAAAACAGAGATGTGAGTAAGAGGTCTCCTCTCATTGATGTTTGTGTAAAGGCCCTGTTTAGACGTGCTGCGCTTCCAAACGTCAATCAGCGCTTCTGTGTCGTATTTCAGGGAACAGTTCAATTAAGCAGATATAGTGGCATATTTTAGTTCCGGTCAATGCCCTATTGAAAAGCACTTAATGGAATGTAAATTGTTCCTTTGCGCATTTAGTGGGGTTCTGGTAAATAAAGATTTAAACACTCCACAATTGTCTCTTTAAGTGCCACTGCTGTTAAAGCTAATTGGGCTGTGGGGTTTTATATCTTCCACACCCAGCTTCAAGATAAAACCCACTCAATTCAACTGACACGTTGGAGTGGCACAGTTCTGCGCAATGTACACCTGCTGATTATTTTAATGTAGTCAGGCCCAGAGCAGCCTATAGGTGGAAGGTGTGCATGTACGTGCACATTTCTTCTCTGCACGGTAGTAATTTAGGGCTGCACTCTTATCTTATTGTGATCCAGTGACGATAGATGTCATCAATGATCTTATTATAAAATACATTTTGTTGCACATTTCTGCTAAATGTGTTTATTTGTCTTTGTTGAAACAGCAAATGTCAAGCCAGTACTGTCTATTGTGTTTTAAGCTGCTGTCACAATCGGTCTGAGGGAAATCCGGTTGGGCAAAATGACAAATGACTTGTATGTAAATGCGCCGAGCAACATTTTACTTATTGCATTTAAAATCACCATTATCCTCGGTGCGCATGTGGGGTGGGAGTGGGAGTTGGGTGGGGGGTTGTGGTGCTGAAAGTGAGGTTGGGCCATACTCGCTCGGCCACATCAATCAATAAATTCAAATTACTATTCCAAATTCATCACAGGCACACAAATCAATGCAGCTGCCCTGCTTAGCTAATGTGAAAATGCCAGTGTCTGCACACACATGACAATCCACTCCTGAAAGGAAAAACAGTGCAGGGATAGATGAGTTTGGGAGGAATGTGTGTCCTTCACGCTTAATATCTCCTAATGGAGCGAGGGCAGAGATCCACATGCTTTCCTGCATGTTGTATTCCTTACACGCAGACCCGTAACATAAAAGTTAAGCACATTGGAATGCATTTTGTATGTATTCTGAGCATCTGAAAGCACATACAGTAAAAATGGTAAAAACAAATAGGCCGTTTCAGTTAAAGCTACACAAGTAAGAGGGGTTTGGGGCCATTTAAAGATCGCATTAATGATGAAAACAACTCGCCTTTGCATCTGTGTTGAATTCAACACTCCATCTCAATGTATTTGGCCGGGTCAATACAGTTCTGATCGATAAGGATAGCCAGTGCATCTATCAATTATCCCGCCTCAGCACTCTCTCCCATTGGGTCTCTCCCCCGGAGCAGAGAGGGGAGGCTGGAACTGGAAGAGGGAGCACACTGACAGCTGTTCTAAAAAAAGAGGAAAGAAAGACGCCACTGCTTCACACCTTTGCTGTAATCATATTCAATTTGCTGCATGTAATGCACTCTCATACAGTTGCCCTTTGAGGTTTGGGTTATAAGATATTCAGGCGAAGTTCACACTTAACAAGTCTTTCCAGACAGATGCTGAACCAGACTCGCGCCTGTACGCGTTATCTCTTTCATTGTGACAACGACCAGGTGTCATGGCATGCCAAGGACCCCCCTCCCCCCAATCCCGAAAAGCACAGTTGGTTCATTATCATCTAAATGGCCGGAGCACGTGCCAGGGTGAGCAGGTCAAGACCCACAGGACACGGAGAAAAACATTGCTGAGAATTAGGGTGGGAGGCCTTTATTCATGTTTCAATGGACTACACGGAGTTTACACAGGCCTAATCCTGAAGAAATAACTCCCCCCCACCCCCAAATCCATCACACTGCGCCCTTTCCCCTCCGCAAGCGTACATCCATTTCCTTGTGCTGATCAGTTGTCTTCCTTACAGTCTATTTCAAGTTAAATTCAGGCTTTTCTCTTAGTTGGCTGCCTCAAACCGATAAAACCCGAATGCATATATGCAAATATATGCATAATGCATATATTTTTGTTTTTCTGGAATCTCTTTATCTTGGTTATAGCTGTGATAGCTTTCTGTTTACAGCAGTCACTGTGAAGCAGAGCAGCAGTTTTCAGGCGCTGTCCAGAGTGCTGAAATATGCTTCCATCCAACCCGAACTGCAAGGTCTTGTCTGTGTTTTAAAGACAGTTCATGGTGTCAAACTGGACATTTACCAATACATGGTTAATAGCATTCTTATAGCCCCTAAACACCATTATTTCATCCAACAGCTCTTTTACCCATCGATCAATATTACAATCCACAACGGTGTCAATCACAAAATCCTGCATACCACGTTCCAGTCCAGCACAAAGCCGACTGGGGTTTCCATTCAAATCACTTCGCTTGTTTGGACCATTTTAATACAAACTGGAGACTGTCATTATTTTGCGATGTTCACCAAAACGTCCTAAAGCAAATTTCATTTGAGCCAGGATAATGGGTTTAATTGGAGAGGGCATTAAGATGTGAATGATGCAAGATAATCTAAAACAGGATATTTTTTAAGAGATGGCTTGATGTTAGCCTGCGAAGTGATCGATTGATACTTTAATAATTGATGTGTAAGGGGAAGATAGGGGAGTATACAGTGCAGCTGCGGTTTCTGAGCCTGGTTCTTCGTTAAGCACTGCAACGTGTGCTGTAAGTACTGAGACACATGTTAGCATCGCCTTTGAAATCCTCTGGTGGGAGAGCAACAGCCATTTTCTTAGGGTTATACCTCGAGGCTATTTTGTTTCAATCCAGGGTTCAGTGTAGCTCATACCAGATGAAATGACATCTCACGACTTGCATCATTATTTCTAAGCTGCCATGAAAAGGCTCAGTGTGGTGTGGGGTAAAGTCAATTAACTTTAAATTTGCATGCACCTCCATGCTGTAGGCTGATATAACGGAATGCATCATGGAAGTTATGCAGGAATGAGGAATTTTAAGATAACCACATTTGCAACCTTATGAAGACGAGTGCTCAAAACCAAAGGCCACAGTTTCCCATCGTGCATGACTGCAGAACACAGGGCAACATCAGCACCGTACAGTCTGCATATATGTCGCCTCCCCGTGACTTCTCTCCTGTGTGTATGTGATCGGGATACAGAGTGCGTCTGCGCCACATTGTTAAGGCCGATCTGGCGAGTATCGATTTCCATTCCCAGGCCTCTCCTTCCTTTCTATCTCTGGATGCAACACCATTTCTCCCATTAACAGCTCACCCTTCATAACACACAACAGAATGACTTATAAACACATGCTCTCACGCGCCGGCTTGTTGCTCACCTCGCCGCGTGCCCTGGTCAGTCAAAAGCTGACTTGAACATCTGTGAGGTTTAGTCGTTCCCTCTATTTCTGTGATATAGCAGGATGAGACGACTTAGAATTCACACTCCTTTAAGCTCTTGTCGCTCATTATACATCCCACCCACACTGTTCCGTGCTGCACCCACTGACTTTAAAATTCACAAGAATGTAATTTTAAAAGAAATCAGATTAGTCCAACTGAAGCAGGAACCCGGAGTTTCAATTCAGGGGGCTGCTTAGCAATTAGAAATGCAGTAGAGGTCTGGACTGTGTACAGTCTTGAATACCGTCTCTTCTATTTTAGATGATCAATTCCTACGCTACTCAGTCGCCCCCTCGCCAAACCAGATCGATAGGAGAGAATGACCTTTAAATCAAATTGCTGGCAGAGTCGACTAAAGCACGGGGCCAGCATCAAAGGGTTAATGGCTCCGCGTG